TTCTACCCAAACTGAGGTTTTCCACGCAGTCACAATTTCGTGTACAAAATGTTACGGAAAAACTGACAAAGCAGGACGCGAGCTAAAAAAATGGAATAGCTGTTATTCACATAGAGGCTCAATTACATTACCGAAACAAATAAATTAAATAAATTATAGAAAGCGAGGAGACAGACGATAGTTTGCCCATTAGGAAACATCAACAGAACCACATATGATTAACCATAACAAAAGAAAAATGAATTATTTGGAAAACATCCTTTTTCTTTAAAAACTAGAAAAATTGAATAAATCATTTTCTAGAGACGCTGGTATGCTGATTATTTCTATAATGTTAAGCAAGTATGAAAACAATCATAGAAAAAAATATCAGCTCAAATTTGGTGTTTTTATTGAGATACAAAACTTTTAGTGTTTTTGTACCTGTTTTCTCAGTGAAATAAAAAAAATTCATGACTCTTGAAAGAAGTATATTGGACACAAATCATTTTGATTTTATCACAAATCATGTGATTTTATAGAAAATTGTGTGGCGCCCCTTGGCGATCTGTGAAGTAATCTGCTATCCTGACTACACAAACAATATATTAATATATTTTTGTGTCTCAATGTCTTTATTATTATTAGAACAGTTAACATAAGATGATAGTCCGTTAACCTGTTTGTACAGTCTGCAACATTTTTTGAGCTCTGTATTTTTGCACGAATGCGAGCTCTTTTGAAAATTCAGTGATATGACTTATCCAGTATTCTAAGTAGTACTGTTGTTAGGAAATCTTCGCCAGCTCGAAGTTAGCAACTTAGCCAGAGAGATGAGACTCATTCAAGAAGTTCGACATGCATTGTTTACCACTACTTGAGCAACAGTTCAGCCATGATTTTTCCTTGCATTTTATCTTTTGAAATCTTCGTCTCCATTCCTGTTTTCCTGCAGCGCTCTACCTTCTCTGTAAATGAAGAGTTACTTCTCTACTGGAACTAGCGAAAGACAGGTGGGTATATACTAGCTTTACACACGACAATCGTAGGCAACACAATAGAGAACAAAGCTGAGAATTTCGATTTCCCCTGCAACGTTTTCTTTCGTAAGTTAACTGCTTCTTTATCATACTATTTTGCTGTGTCATTTCTCCTGTTCCGTTCTGTCAATTATTTGCCACACATCTCTTCATGCATCCGCGTCCTCTGTTCAAGTCCTCCTTCCCTGAGATGTTAGTTAGATTACATCAACTTCTCTCAGGCATCCCTCTCATGACTGATGATCGACTGCAGAATTTGTTCTTGGCACTTGCAATCAACACATCGCCATCTTTTTTGAAGTCTAACAGTAATATAAAATTGATTCAGTTTTTGTCTATTCAATCTACGAAAACTGATATTCACTTCAAGTAGTTCGAAAAAAGCTATCAGTCCCAAGTGCAATATTAATAAAGACGACCGACACTTACGAAAACGATGCGTGAGAGTAGCAGGCGCGAGCTAAATAATGCCCATATAAGGAAAACATCGAGAAGGATGTGGATGAAGAGACTATCCACACAACTATTCACTATCAACTTTTCGAATATGATTTTGGACGAATATGATTCTCATGAAAGTTGACGTGTATTCCAATGCCTAGAGTGACTAAGTTCTCAAATAAATTCAGCCGAAAATGTTAAAAGTTTGGATTCAATGGTTTCAGACATCGGTGATCACATGCGCATGTTCAATCAAAAAACCGAATTTGACTGGTGATTCGATTCTTGACACCCGACTGTCTATTTATTTTATTTCTGTAGCTTTTTTTATTCCTGCTGAAAACGACAGCTATAGTTCTCCGCGTTGTTTAATTCAGGCGTATTCAATGTACGGAACGATGACTATTGTGATGGGACAAAATCAGTGCATGAACATGAAATTCATTTAATCAAATATACGATATAAGAACCCATCAGAACACCAAGAATCGTGTCAAGAATAGAATCACTAGTCAAATTTGACTTTTTGATTCGACATGCTCATGTGATCACCGATGTCTGAAACCATTGAATCCAAACTTTTAACATTTTTGGCTGAATTTTTTTAGACGACTGTGTTTTTAATTTATTATCTTCAAGATAAGTGGCGAAAGATTCACAGTAAAGACTAGATTTATTTTACAAAATGTCTGTTACGGTTTTTTTCAGTCTTATAGGATCAAATGATTAATTAACATTATTCAAGCGAAAATGTTGTTGATATTACCCTTATCTTATAAAAGACAGGGAGTAAGTACGTGTACCATTTTTTATGTTCGATTAACTGTGAGAAGATGACATCTTTTCTGATAATTGCGATACATCTCATTTTGAAACTGAGCTAAATAATTTTCTTTCAACATTTTATCATTAACAAATGCCCACAATTATATATGTGAACAAAGGTTTCTAAATGGAATATTAGTTTATCCGAATGGTTCAGATGAGTATTTAGCAGAAAACTGTTAAGAAGTTGTAGGTATTGATAGTAAAATGCAAATCAAGATACCTGTATAAGGAGCTTTTTAGCATTAACCACTGCTCTAATGCCAGAGAGAAGTTTAAATCGCTGGAGCAGACTCTTTGAAAGCAAATAATACCTTACAAATACTGTCGTTAACGTTAAATGATAATCTGATCACAAATAAAGGATAAGAAGCAATTGCAGAAATATTAAAAATACAGCCCTTAAATATTTATGGTTACGTGCAAATGAATTAACACTCGTATTGTTTAAGTATGCATCAGTTTCGGTTTTCAAACCGAAAAACCGGCACGAAAAAACCGATATTCGGCACCATATATTGTTGATCAAGTCGAAAAAGGCATCCAGCAGAACACTAAGACTTTGAAGTTTTTCAGAAAATTTCTAGAAAACGTGAAACTAATGCCCAGCTGAAATTCACCTTTTTCGTCTTCAATTGTGATTTATCTACTGTGCTGAGCGTTTTCTGAAAATTACCTTGATTCAACATGAGATTTGAGCAAGATATAACGATTTTAATTTTTCCTGGTAACAGGCGAAAAACAGGCTTTTCACAAAAATGCCTTTGGCGAAGTTATTTTCATTCCTATACAAAAACAACTGTTCGCACTATGCTGAACGTAGCCGATTACCTATATTCCATGGCATTTTCAGGTTCCCAGAGATGTCTACTCGGAGATAGACACGCGCTCGGGGAAAGCAAGCCCCGTCCGACGATAGCGGGAGAGCTGAGACTTGCATAATGTTGTAGGGTAACGTCCGGACTACCTACACATGCAAAAAGAATTACTAACATCGTATGTCAGTTTTCTGAGAACGTAGCTGGTTTTCTAAAGATTCTCTAGAAAATCGGATTTATAGGAAATTTTGAATTAAATTTTTGCTTGCAAAAACATGTCTTCAGGTCTTCGCTACACAATAGTGAACATCGCAGATCTCTATCTCATTCCCGTCAAAAATTATTCAAAAATTGGGTACCGGCACTGTATTTTGGAATGGATAGTAGGTGCATTGGATGGTACACTTGAAGTTTTATACAGAACTACCGTCAGAAGTTTGGGATTTCACTATTTTCCCAGAAAAAGTTTTAGCGCCAATGGTGGCAACATATTCGAAAGTCATATTCGAAAAGTTGATAGTGAATAGTTTTTGAGGATGTTGTGTGGGTAGTCTCTTCACCCACATCCTTCTCGATGTTTTCCTTATATGGGCATTATTTAGCTCACACCTACTACTCTCACGCATCGTTTTCGTAAGTGTCGGTCGTCTTCATTAATATTGCACTTGGGACTGATAGCTTTTTTCGAACTACTTGAAGTGACTATCAGTTTTCTTAGATTGAATAGACAAAAACTGAATCAATTTTATATTACTTTTCTATTCACCCTTATCTTATAAAAGACAGGGAGTAAGTACGTGTACCATTTTTTATGTTCGATTAACTGTGAGAAGATGACATCTTTTCTGATAATTACGATACATCTCATTTTGAAACTGAGCTAAATAATTTGCTTTCAACATTTTATCATTAACAAATGCTCACAATCATATATGTGAACGGATGTTTCTAAATGGAATATTAGATTATCTTCAAGTAGATTAAACTTCAAAGTATGCCACTTTATTTCCCTTCCGTACGTTGTCCTAGGTATGGTATGCAATTCTGCAGAAAATCGTCTGCTCTGTAAAGTGCTGCGAAAACATTTTTTTTATTAAATGAACCATATTCATATCCTGGTGAGGGCGCTGTGTGTTAGCCGTCAAACTGCTTGAAAGCTGGCCGTATAGAAGATATATATAATATGCGGCGTATGCGTATGTTTTTCTCTCGTTCTCTATCTCTATCGTAGGAAAATGAGTTTTCTCTGTCGTCATCGATAGAGCGCAAGACATATATACGCACACCACATGCAATACACATATATATGTTTTAGTTTTAGTACAGATACATACACATCTTTAGAAATCACTCGACTGACTGCCATCATCTGTCGAAATTTCTCAAAAAAAGGCTCTTTAACTATCAGAGAAAAACAATTTTGAAATTTGCACAAGCTTATTCTGTTAAGTTATCGAAAAACTACATTGATGAACTTGATATCTTTTACAACCGCACGACTATGAAATTTTCTTTTTAATGTATGCAGAGTAGTACTGTAAGAAGTACCAAGTAGGTTTACGCTTATGGAAAAAATATGAAGCGCAGGAGTCTTCTGATTCTACTAGTGTCTATATTCACAATGCGTTATTGTAATAACATTAAATTAGTTTCGAAGAATGAAGAAAGACAAAGAAAGTATCGTTGACTTTAACATTTTTTTTATTGACTGATAAACAATCTCGATGCGACTATGGCAAATTCCAAGATCTCATTTTGTTATCTTTTAATTCTTATTTACGAGATCACTTTCATTTGAGAATGTCAAGTACATTGATGATGTTTGTTATGTGAACAGATAAGCTTTAAAAATTTTGTGCTACATTACGTTTGCGTTGGTCTAGAACAGTTTTTACAATTATATTCTAGTACTTCCGTCAAATTCATACAAACTATTATAGTTTTGTACAACATATTTTGATCTACCTTGAGGATACAACCAGTTTTCCAGATCATTCAAACGTCCTAAATATTCTAATACATATGCAGCTGCTTTAACTATGTTTTCATATGCAAATGTATTTATATTTTGTATTCGATCACATTGTTGATGATAACATGTATCAAACGCAGCATTGGCTAAACCACCTAGACCTTGACCTAATAGTTGATCGTATCTGTCTCGTTCAGCCATTGGTTTGATACCCCCTGCACCTGCTGCTATTCCACCAACCACTAATCCTGCAGCCAGAAATGGAACATAATCACTACCACCACCAAGCGATGAATTACTCCATGGTAATTTTTGTTTATTAAACCATTCACGATATAATTCTGATATACGAATACTACCGTTGATGGCTTCTTCTGGTGTTCCTGGTGGTGCTTGTGTGCCATCGTGAATACCAAAACGATAATTAGGTGAACCTAACATATCATAATTTAAATTTAGTAAATAATCTTGGAAACGTTCACCTTCAGTCGTTGTCGTTGATAAAAGAGCTTGGTCTACGTGATAAATAGAACCAATAAGTCCAATTTCTTCTGCACCCCACCAACAAAATCGTACACGATAAGGATACGGATCGTAGCGTTTTGATGACGATGTTAACAAACGAGCTAAATTGATAGCTAATACCAGATTTCCAACTGAACCGCTACCTACGACAGACAAGAATAAGTAAAGTTCTTTTCTTAGTTTGGATTACTGAAAAGAATTTATACAATCTTTGCATACAAACAGCGTAGATAATTGGCTCTTGTCTGATCGGATATAATAAAAAACTAATTCGACACTTCAATTCAGAATTTTTTTGAAATTTCTCTGCTGAAAAAACAAACTCGGATCTTTTGAAAGGCTAGCAAATGTGGTAACAGTAAAGTTTTCTTTTATCCACTATGCTAAATGCACGAGTCAGCTGTTCATAACACTGGAGGTAATTTTTTCAACATAACTGCTTTAACACATTCTAGATCGTACTATATTGATCGATTTTCAGTTCAATGATATAATGGGAATTTATATTCTCGATTTCGTTCTGCTTCAAGATTACAGGCTTAAACCAAAAACAAAACACAAAAACACAATAAAAAATATACATTGAAGGATAACATCGAGCCATTGCACAACTTCAGTCATTATGCAGAATATAGGAAAGAACAGCGAAGTTGATTTTGCAGTTAGTCTGCAAAGATCAAGTTCGTGTGTTCGATCCTGGCTTCGTGCAAGGATTGATTTTGTGTTTTGATAAGTTTAAGTTTCAGAATGATATAATGGGAATTTATATTCTCGATTTTGTTCTGGTTCAAGATTACAGGCTTAAACCAAACCAGATCGAACTATTAACCCAACTTTCAAATATCTATTCGCGGATCCGGGTATGCTATCCACTATGATCTTTTCATATAATTGGAAAAAATAGCCGTGTACAGCTCGTTACAGCAAAAAAATAGTAGCTGTTTGTATTTTTGCTGTATCATATAAACAGTGGAACGTGTAGAGTACGCGAGCATTTTCAAAGCATTCGGCACACTTTTTTCTTCAATTTACGATATTCTGAAGCCCTTGGCATATATTGATTCGAAACTTGTGAGGGAGAAAAAATGAAGAAAAATCATTACGGTAGGACACTTCGGTAACAAAGTTACGTGGTCAAGCCGATTACTCAATAACTGGCCAACAACACCATTTACTAAAGCTGAAATTTTTGTCATATGGTGAGTACATGTCACGGTCTTCATCGAAAAACCTTACATCTATAGTGAGACTGTCAGTAATTATGACTGTACTAAGGATATGTTCTGATTGATAACTCTCATTGCACAGCTTTCTTCAACTATTTTTTAATGCAAATAAATCATTTTATAGAAAATTGTTTACTCTAGAATATAACTACATTATAATTTAGGTCTGAAATTTAAATCGAACATGATAAAGTGGGCTATTTTTAGAAATTTGATGATTTTTAAGTGTGCAAAATTTCGCTTTTTCGTACCTTAAATTTCTTTTTCAGAAAAATGCTAATTCGCAGAACTTTTAGGTTTAAACGGCTTACTGCTTACCATTGTCATTAATACCGCTACCAGCCGGCACTCCATCGCTGTGACTCCCGATAACAATTGTTTTTGTTTTATCACCTGTTGGTGTATCTGCGCAAATATTTCCAATACCATTAGCATCTTTAACATCAATATTCATAATAATATCTGCTGATGTATTTGTAGCAGCTTCAACTAATAGCATTCCGAGTTGATATGAGAGAAATAATGCTGGAATTGTTGTGTTTAGATTATTCCTTATACCGGTCATAGGTTGAAAACGATCGGGTGCTGTACCATCATTATAAATAAGCAGGCCAGCAACTTGATATTTTTGTGCCAAACTAGATTTTTCTATAAATGTACAATCGCCACGTTTAACTAACGCCACACGACCGAGGACTGTTACTCCCATCCAGTCACTATCATTACAACCCAGATTGGGTACGGCAATCAAAGGGACAAATGATGAGAAGTTAGCTGCTGATGAAAATAAAATGTAAGTAAAATCGACCAGGTATGTATATGTGACTTGAGTACCATCGATAGATGATATTAGTGTTGGATCGCGTTCTAAAATATAATTACGTACAGTGAAATATTGATGTTGTATTATATAATTTGTTTGTTGTTGAAGAATCAATGTAATGTAATCGAGTGTTGAATTAAAACCTTGGGTGGCTATTGCACGTGTACCATTACTTTGATCAGCTATCACTTGTAATTGTTGTAAATGTGTTATTAACTGATCAATCTTTATTGTATCAACAAGTGATGATAGTTGGTCCGTCGTTGTGCTAGTAAGTGATGGTGATTGTTCCGTCGTTGTGCTAGTAATTGATGATGGCTGGTCTTTCGTTGTATTATTAATTAAATTTAATCGATTTATAACTACGCCCAACGTACTGGCTGTTAAAGCAAGTGCTGCGATACTCAATAATAAAATAAGACCAAAAGCTACGTATAGCTGGCGTTTCGTTTTTGATAAGCTTATGACAACATTAGATGATTCATCCGTCATCAGTATTTTGGTCATTTCGAAATCAAATCTAAAAAAGATCGAGCGTTCATGGCCATTTAATAGAGGATATTTTGCTCATGATTTATTTTGAAAGTTATCGAGATTTCTTGAGCTTATTCATGTCATACAATTATTACTTGAACAAGATGTTAATAATTATAGCAGTTAGATAGTTGCAACAAAATAGATGACTTTTATTTTCATGTTCATGTTTCTAGTAGTATACTGTCTCTATTCTGTGCTTACTTTATAAACAAGACCATGTCACAAGTCAAAAATCAGCTTCTCCTCCAAATTGTTTTTTGACGTATATCAACAAGAACTTTAATGATGTGTATCCCCATACGTTTTCTGAAACAAAGTTCAGCATTTGCCAGCTTATTTTCCGCTCAATCACTGTTACAAGGAAAGCACCCAACTGCTAACTGACTTTGAGTCCATCGTTTGAGTTCATTGGCTTTTGGTGAGATTAGAAGAACACTAACAGAAGAGCTGCTTCCGAACCTTCTACGATGGAATATCGATGTTCCAACTTCTATTCAAAGAGTAATCTCTTTTCGATGGCCAATCAAATGCTTTGCAAGGAGATCGGTTCGAGCGCTGGAATCATTTTCTAGTGTGGGATGGAGGCTGCCTGCCTGAAATGAAACTATGATCTCTTAGGTTACAGCATGATTATGTCTAGTGGAGTCCTGTCGTTGTAATGCATCTCTACTTTACTGATGTTCGCTCAAATTGTGACGAAATCTATTTCCGCTCAGAGTTACAGAATGAACGAATAGTTTCTCTCAATGTCGCTATCAGTGTTGCCGAAGTATGAATTTTGATAAAACATCTTTTCCTACGTATATTCACTTGAACTGAACTATGGGTGTGAACACTAATTTTGCAGACTTTTTGCAAAACGTCCTTTTCACATTGGAAAGATGACAACAGCAAGAACGTTGTGAAACTCCTGGTCGATGATCGTAAACTGTTCGGTTATCACCGAACGCGTGCCAACGCTAGAAATTAAACACGTTCGCTTCCATCACTTCGAATCGACGTGCAAACACGATCATGTGATCAGCAGATATTAAGAGATGCTGTTTTACTCGCATGTATAAAATTAAGGCACTTTTCGTGAAATTGGTTCATCGCTGTACTTTGAACCCTAGTAATTAGTAGTTATACAGCCTTTATGATTTATGAAGGCGTAAAGAATAGCAATATTATCCTTTCTCTGGCTATCTAGGTGCCGTTGCTACACGGAAGTCTGTATATTACAAAAATAATGCAGAAATCAATGGTGTTGGCAGTTCAGAATGTGTGAAAGACTTGATTTTGCGCTAAAAGGACATTTAAAAACGACATAAAATCAAGTTGCAGAATTATTGACAAGCTGTGTATATCTCTCTGTACGCACTGTCATAACCCCCATGCATCAGCATTTTGGATGATATTTTTTCTGTCTGAGTGGGATCTACAAGTTCAAGTTCACGTTCAAATTTATTTTGCATAAGCAAGGACATCACAAAAGAAAGTAAACGTTTAGTAATTTATAACATCTGATAAACAGAAGCCTTAGTGATACCTGTATAACTAAAAACAAACACTCAAAAACACAAAGTAAAAGTTAAAGTAGAGTTTTTTAGGATGTCCGCTACCATCTGACCAATTCGTAGGAAACAACTCAATGTTAATACATGATATGCACTTTCATTTCTTCCTCACGAATTTGCAAACTCTGGTCAATTCTGCTGGAGTTCTGTCCGATTCTGGTACAATTTCAGTTCCAGTTCTACCAGAATCTGAACATAATCTTAATAATAGTATGTATTTGAATGTGTCGAGTTCTACCAGTCCTAGGAATTTTCATCGAATTATAGAACTAGCCACTGTGGAAAAAATGTCATAGAGAGTAGGAACACGTTTCATTTTGTTTCGAAATGTTTACTCTTTACGATGGAATTCTTTGTAAAAGATTTCTAGGTGAAATTCGAGGACGTGCTTTTAGAGATTTTTTTTCTTCAGAGGCTCTTATTTCAGAAACTTCGATAGAACCTTTATATACATCAGACCAGATTCAAAATTCTTTCAGCTATTCAAATCTTTTTTCAAAGTTGTTCTAGGTATTATGGTTAAAGGGAGAAATTAAAAATAAAGATGGACGGATAATTTTTCGAGCCACTGCGTATCAAAAAATAGCAAAGTGGGACATGTGGGCAAGTGGGATTTTAGTTTGTCGGAATGAACAATAGGTAGCAAACTCGTTTTTCTAAGTGAGATTCAACTTTGCTCTCGCTTGTCCCATCAATCATGGAAACGCTGTCGTGCATGTGAATAAAATGATTTTCCGTATATCTCCTAGTTCTCTGGCGATCTAATGAAGAACTGCACTCAGAATATTACTTTCTTCAGACTTCACTTACATGTGAGGCAGACAGCCCTCAGTTCTACCCTAGAAAACGAATTTAGCGCTCGAACCGATCCTGAGTACTCGATTGGCCATCGAAACATCACTCTTTGAACAGAAGTTGAAAAATCGATATTCCATCGTAGAGGTTCGTGAATTGCTTTTCTGTTAGCGTTCTTCTAATTTCACCAACGGCCAATCAACTCAAACGATGGGTTGAAAGTCGGTTGGCACTTGGGTTGCTTCCATTACTTTTTTGATCGAACTATTTTGAATATGCCTTTCGATAGAGTTCGGCGAGTTGATGAAGAATTCGAGATAAGTTATTTATTAAGAAGAAAAGCTTTGTGGCTGATGAAATATGATTTATCTCATCAATGAGATGGTCTACTTCTATGTGAAAACGCTTTTCATACTCTGAGCTGGCTCGCATGCTATAATTAGTGCAGTTGGTCGCGCTAATAATTGGAGAAAAGATAAACAAAAAGTTTTTTCAAATCTTCAGCTGGGAAAAACTAAGAAGTTCAAAGTCCCATTGAGCTAAGGCTAAATCGCATTGAGCTATGGCTCAGTACCCCTTCTTTCCATAGTTGCACCGTTGACAGGAGTTCAAGGAGGAAAATATTATCAAGAAATTGATTCTTATCATCTCCTTGCGCTGAGATACTAAAGATTTGCAAATAACGTCAGGCATAGAATAAAACGAACTCTACCCGGAACAAGTATTATAATATTTTTGTAAAGAGCAAATTTAAGATTTTTCTTTAGAGCCGAACTCTATTAACCTTTTAGAAATGCTATAGAAAACCACATGAGTTGAACAGTTTTGTTGAATACCTGAACGGATAGGGCAAACAATTCTTTTTAAATGAGATATCCACAGTTCTGGAGAAGCGTCATTTAAAAGTGGAAGGATTTCTAAGTTATAGTCTGTAATGATGAAAACGGCCTGAAATCTGAATTGATGCAAAATCCAACTAGAAATCTAAATTAAGCGCCTTTAGCGCAGTATCACCGTCTACAGGATGACTAAACAGTTTATTTCTGTGTATAAAAACATGATATACATACTCTCAACAGTGAAGAATAAGACAATTTTCTTCTTTTTTTTCTAAAAAAAGTGCCTGTGTTACTCTTTATCTTTATTACTTTTATCTGCATCATTCAGAGCTCTTTTCTTTTTTTCTTAACTGCAGTTTCGTTATTTTTCAACTGTTAATTTTTTGCGCGATTGCATGTGATGGGGGCCTCAGTAGGATGCATCGCTACTATATCAGTGTTCGCTCAAATTTGACAGAAACTAATTTCGCTCAGAGTTACGGAATAAACGAGTGGTTTGTCTTATTATTAAGTAGTGTTATTTACGATCAGATAGATTACGTTTTATGTACGACTGAGATGTTTTCACGTCATCTTTTAAATAATTAGCTATTCGCAAATCAATCGACCATGTTGTGGAACTGCTTTACAGAGAATTTGCCCAAAACTCAAGAAGACAGCAGCGACAATTGAGAAGTAGCAATTGGGTAGAGCTAAAAGAAAATAGGAGGAAAACAATGATGTTATAAATGAACTAGTATATGGAAAGTCCTTCGACTGCAACGATCATTCCTTATATTCCGTTATTCAGGCGCTACTTTCTGTGTTTATTTTAGCCAATTTCTCTGTGAACTAGTTCAACAAGATGACTGAGAGATTTGCGAATGTTCTCCTGAACTGTTCAGCTATTGCACGAATTTATTTGATGGGATTCTGCCGTTATAACACCGTTGTTAGCTCAAATTTTAGTGGAAACTGGTTCGGCTTAAAATCACGGATCATGGAGATGGTTCCTGAGCTCTTTTTTCTTTTTATCGGCGTCTTTCAATTCAGTTACACAGCGCCTCTTTTTTTGCATGTTTATCCTTATTTCACATGTTCAATTTCAGGAGAACGAACTTTTCCCAGGAAACATAATTTGATAGACAAACACGGGAAAAAAAAATGTATGCCTCCAGGTCGACAATACTACTAGTCGTCGTACGAGGAATTCTACGTCAATAGTCGAGACTCTGATAATTAAAATCATTCATGTGAACTGAGAATGTATGTTAGATCATGCTTCGGTAGCTCAGTGGTTAGAGTTTCTGGCCTGTTACCAGAGGGTCCTAAAACAGATTTTCAGTCAAGGCATATATTTTCGCTTCGCATGGTGGTCGATCATATTATGTCGCACTTCTAACTGTATTGAAATTTATTTTCTAATTTCATCAGTGTCTGTTTTACAATTCAGGATATATCGGCAAAAATATTTTTTGAACCTGTCGGATCAGATCGATGATGTCGCTTTAGTTGAAGCATGACATAAGTATAATCAAGTGAAAAATGCAAGCAGAAACACCGATTCTTTTGATTATTTCCGTCAGTGTTTTCAAATGAAGAAACTAAATTTAAATCCCTTTCTTTCCTACCGCAAAAATCACAAAATAACAAATTTAACAAATGCATCAACATAAACAATGACTGAAAGTATTCAATGCAACTGTGATTAGCTGAAGTCAAGTCTGACTTGTACGAAAAGCGCAAACGATGTCTCAAGTAAATTTTGATCATTCTTCTGCAGAAAGCAGGCAAAACAGTC